AAAAAATTATGTAAATGTTTTAAATAATCAACTCTCCATAGTTTCGTTTTAAAATCACTGAATAGGCCATAAAAGGTAACAATTGAATACTCACTTGTAAAGTCTTAAAAGGCCAAAGATCCCTATAGTATAATTTATTTTATCGGTTTGTTTGATACACCTATGGATGTATTGCTAATGTATCGTAAAAAATGTTTTCAACAAAAAAAATGGCATTCAACGAAGAATGTAGATATGACTCAGCAAAGAAAATAATTATACGATTACATTGTTCAGTGAATAAAAATCTTCTAAAGACTTTACATCTAACTGCGTTGCCTTATGCGAAGTAATTGCCCGAGTCGAAAAATTTCGATAGATCTTACATTGATTACATCGTTAAAATTTTACTCTTATATTGATTGAAAAAAATTTCATTTTACATGATTCAGATCATAGTTACGATAAAAATCGTAAAAGTAAGATTATTAAAAATTTTATATGTAGATCTTCAGTTTATATGGGTTCTCTTACTAATAATAGTCACCAATATAACCAATGTTACATATAAATACGGAAATATTGCCAGCGTAAGTAAAAGAATTATAAAATGGAAGTTTCTATTTCGAAATATAAAAGTTTCTAAATAATTCATAATTCTGTATTTAAGCATTGAATAATGATGGCTAATGCTAAAAATGTCATATATCATATTCTCCATTAAAACTTTAATTAATATTAAGTAACGTCATCTTAACGGTAAAAAATTACATTTAGCTAAAATTATTTTCCCGTTAGTTGTATTTCTAAAAAGTAATGTAACTTATGAACAATCTACAAAAATTTTTCAACTCAAGCAATCTGTAACAATAAGTAGCCATGGTCAGAGTATAGTCAGTATCGAGTATCGAAAATTCCTTGTTCAAATATAATGTTGAAATACTTGTAAAATGAATAAATAAGTTTTTTGTTTATATTCTTATTCTAACTAAGTATGAAAACTTTGAGTATTTAACCCATAAGCAATGTCTATTGATGACCGTCTATTCTTTTAAATAACTTTACTAAATAACATAAAATACTAAGCTTTATGATAAAGCTCATATAAATTCTTCGTACCATTCACTTCGGAATTTTGGATTCTTAGATTCAAGTTGTTAACTACTTTCTGAAGTTATGCCTGAATGGTTAAAATAGAATTGTCCACAATATGTTGTTACAAATGTTTTTCAATTGTAAATCTTTCTTCGTTGTGCTATTACATTTTTATCATGTATATAAGCTAAAATATTCTATTTTTTTATATTTATCACATGTGTTATTTCATGACACATTGACAGGTACGATTATAAGACGATTTCCTGTTGCTTTTTTTTTATTCACTTATAGATATGTTAAAAAATGACAAAAAATTAATTCTATTGGTTACAGTTATATTTACAATTTACAAATAAAGCCTATTGATTACAGTTGCTATAAATCTCAGTACATTTATACATTTAAATCTTTTTATTAGTAGTACATTAATATCGTCCATAAAAAAGCTAATTTAAAAAAACAGCTGTCGTGAAATTGAGGGTAACCGCAGTACACTATATGAACACAGGAAAATTTCTTTAGCTTAATGACAAAATATATATTTTCTTTTCTATTAAATTATCATTCCCTTACAATCTGACTTTTATGCTGATCATGCAGTGTATGATGATTACCTCGAATTGCAGAATAATTTATACTTAGTTTCCTTTTTCCTGTAACTAAACATAAAAAAAAATATTTTTGTACATTAATAATTTATCATAACAAATATAATATATATTTCTCTAAATCGAAATCATACCGAATATTGAATCTGATACATACGATACAGTGATTCTTACTTTGAACAAAATTCTACACTGAGAAAAATTTCTTATAAAAATTACGGGTCTGTCGCCGGTAAACCGGACATAAGTGACAAGTCGCTATAGAATTTACGAATTGAAGATATAAAAAATACATTTCACATAGTATTTTTTAATATTTATCTAAGAATTTTTACGTAACGTCTTAGAAGTTTTTACTGTACAGCACAGTAAATTTTTTTTGCTGGTAAAATTTCCTGTTGCTTCGAGAAAAATTTACTTGGTCTTCATCAAGATGTCCTAGTACACAAAAGAATTTTTACGGTGCCACATAGTAATTTTTACTGAGCGAAAAAGTAATTTTTCACTCAATTTAGAATTCGATGATGTTCGGGTGTAATCGAGTTGTTTTGGAAATTACGAGTGTTGTGTATAATAAATATTTTTATTACATGATGGTTAACCAAGTCTGTAAGTATAAAATTTCTATCATTTTTATCATTAATTCAATAACGTAATATACACAATATTAATATACCAATGCATGTATGCTAATAACGTTCTGACAATTCATTCAAATTAATAAAAAAAGAATTAGTTATTAAAATTTATATTTATTATTTCACATAAATAAATTTCATTTCCATCGATATATTTTTAATCATTGTTCCAGAGTTGTTATGATGCATATCTTTTTACCTTAGGCAGCATGTTAAGATCTCGGTTAATACTTTGAATACCTAAGTTTTATGACTTTCAAACAAAAAAAAGTTTGTTTTGACAGGGTCAGGCCGATCTCTGCTACACACATGGGATCTTCAAATCGTAGTGCAGTTTGACAAAGAGAATTTTTATATCTTTTGCCTATCCTCTATTGCATTTTCAACTAGAAGATCGTTGTTTTGACAGGTCTAGACCAGTCAGTTATCTGAAAGTCTTCGAAAGAGTAAGATCGTCGGAATTTTTGAAACAGCGAATCATTTATTGTGAGTGTTAGTGTTTACATTATTCCAGGTGAAGAAGGCCCTAATTTTTATGTCCTGAAAGAAATTATTATAGAAAATGAATTAAGATTTTATCTCATTGTAAAAAAATTATTAGAAGTATTTTTAGACGAACATACAGAATGTTATTTAGTATGTAGTAACAATTATTCGTTTGAAGTATTAGATAGTAACCAAATATATAATTTTCATCAAACAAGTATTGTAGAAACCCCAAATAAAAAACGATTAATAATTAAGATATAGTAATTAAGATTTTTTAGACGTATTTATGTTTGTAAAAAATGTATGAAAAAAAATTTCTAATTAAAAGATAAAAATGTAACAAAAAAATTATTAGACATTATTGATTCAATTTTCATTCCTAACTTTTTTATGACTACTTTATTGATCTTTTTTTTATAAAAATATTTATTAATAAAAAAAAAAAAATAAGCAACATAAATTTTACGGTACCACACCGAATTTTTTACTTGTACTGTAGACTGAAATTTTACGGTGCCACAACGAAATTTTTACTTTTTGCCGTGGAAGTAAATTTTACGGTGCCACAGCGTATTTTTTTCGTGGGCTTATAGTACTTTTTCCTTTGCCTGTCACTTATGTCCGCATTACGAGAAAGCACCGTAATTTTTTCTTAAATTTATCATAAAAATTATAAGAATTTTTTCTCAGTGTATCTGATATTCTGGAGGTACTTTTTGTGTTGTTCCTTATGTATACTTTTATTTATTTACGTACATATATAGATGAAATATATTTTTAAAAAAAACATGTTTTATGTTCATTTGCATTCATTCTGATTTAACGCCAATATTATATTGATGTAAGTGATGTGATATGACATATACATATGTTTGTAAATTTGAGGTGTTAATGATTGTACACGTTGAAGGTTAACTTTGTACTTCTTATGAGTTTAATGACATCGTTATGAATTAACGTTTCCCACTAAGTTTTGATTCACAGAATATATGAAGTATAATGTTTACATAAAAAATATTTATGAGACAATTATATGATTCATTTTCTGTACACAATATCATGTGAATCGCTACCAAATCATACAATCACAATGTCATGAGAATACAAAATGAGTAACTTACAATTAGTTATGATCGAGATATGCAGTGTTAATTTGAAAAACAGTAGAAATACAATGACAATTCCATGATGATTCTTTTTGCTTTGTTCTTATAGAATGCATATAAGTAATAATGAAGTTTAGACTAACAGTTGTATAGATAGTTAATATTGAGTGATAATCGAATTTATTATAGATCAATGATTATACATGAAATCATTCTGATTATGAATATTTGTTACGAACACAATTAATGCTTCATAAGGGAACTTTAAGTTTCCGTATACAATACAATAATTTAAGGATATATGTTTTTTAAGTCCACTAATGTACCAAAAATTTTATTAAAGAAGAACAACAAATCTCCTTACTTGAAAATAATAAAATTTATACGCTTCTTCAAAAAACTATATTTTTTCATAATGTGGTCAATAAAAATTCAGTTGTAATTGTGATAAAGTAGAGAGAAAAGTTTTTTTGGGCATTTATTTTAATGTAATATATGTTATGATAAAGATTAAGTATTATAAAGCGTCAATCAAATAATCTTATTACGTGTCTTTTTCAAAGAAGAATACGATTTCTGAAGTTTAGTTAGAGAATATCCAATTTAACATCTAACCAGACGACAACTCCATCATGTTGATATCTTTTCATCATTGTTTCAAACATGCTTAGATGAAATCGAGTCCAGTGTAATAACGGATAAATGTTACCACCCACATTGTATGTACTGTAGCGTAGAATTCGAGATCAATATCTCAGTGATGCAGGCGGGTTCAGAATTTCTCGTAGAGACCACGCCTACCATGTTGGCGATTGGTTTAGCATTCTACATTAGTAAAGTTTAAGTGTTCTCTGGGCATCGGAGAAAACGGGCGGGACAAATCCTCCAACCATAGGAGTTTAGAGAGGAAGGGAATATTCGGTTGTGCACCAACCGAGACATAAATCATATCCAGTCGTTCATTTACCGCGAATAAGCTTGCGTAACATATTATATAAAACTTAGGTGCAACAAGTACAATACACTTTTTTGTTATTAAAATATTATAAGAAAGAAATTTTTCAACGTTTTAGTATAAAAACGATAACATTCTTTTTCTTCATAATAATTAATATTCAACGTGGTTAAAAATATGTGAGAGTTATGCATTAATCATTAACGTCGATACTACAGTGTCATAATTAATAAATCATAATGTGTAGTAACGATAGTCCTCCACCAACAAAGGAATCGTTAACTGTAGATTTGAATATTGGAAGTCCAATGGCAGGATTTTTACCAGGACTTGAACACTACAGATTACAACTATACCATTATGCTATGGCAGAACGTTTACGTTTAGCCCAGCAGTTACATCCTCAGCATCCCGGACTCAATCATTCTAACTCTGGATCGTCGGGATCACATCTTACTATTTCTTCGAATTTTCCAGCGCCTCTCCCACTCTATCCAACTGCTGCAGCAGTAGCTGCAGCTACAAGTTATCCTAACAGACTGGCATTATCAATGGCGTTACTCCATCCACATCATCAACGAATTCCTGAAGAGCCAAAACCACAACATAGTTATATTGGACTCATTGCAATGGCAATCCTTTCATCTCCAGAAAAAAAACTTGTTCTATCGGATATTTATCAACATATACTTGAACATTATCCGTATTTCAGGAGTCGTGGACCAGGTTGGCGAAACTCAATTAGACACAATTTGTCATTGAACGACTGTTTTGTCAAGTCGGGGAGGAGTGCGAACGGTAAAGGGCATTACTGGGCTATTCATCCGGCTAACATGGAGGATTTTCGACGTGGGGATTTCCGGCGACGTAAAGCTCAAAGGAAAGTTAGACGACATATGGGTTTAGCAGTAGATGAAGAACCTGATAGTCCCAGTCCACCACCTTTACCATCTACTCCACCGTTATCGAATTCAGTAGTCAGTCAGTCAAATACATCATCATCGTTAAATGGTATTTGGTGCTCTCATAGTCATCAAAATCCCTATCTTCCACAGATACAAAGTAGCTCTGATCACAACAAAATGCTCCAACAAATACCCCAGAACCAACTCAATTCAAATCCTCATAACCATTTTCAAAGGAATCCAGTATTACAAACAACTTATCAACCATCACGTAAGAGACAGTTCGACGTAGCAAGTCTTCTTGCTCCAGACGATCAGCAGATGCATATTAAAGATAAAAGATTAGCCAAATCAAGAAAATTTAGCTCTAGTGAAGATGAGCATGAAAATGACAATGTTGACAATGATGAAGATGTAGATGTTGACATTGAGACACATTCTTACCCATCTCCTCATGCTCATCGGGAAAGCCCTGACGTCAAAATAAGTTATTCAAGTAATGGGTGTAATTGGAATAAATCAGCTTCTATTAAAACGATGCAGCCACTTTTAACAACGCATCTTCACAGCCACTTATATATGAAAAGCCATTATGTTCAAACTAATAATACATCGAGTTCAAGTATTTAGAAGACATTTTTATGATTTGATTGTAAATAATTATTTATTATTAAAAATCGATGAACTCTTGAAAATGTAATGTGATTGTAACATATATTCTATGTTTTGAGCTAATTTTGGTATAAGATAGTTAGTATCTAATTTAAGTTATAAAGATGTGAATTTTTTATTAAAAGTCTTATACAGATATGACATTGGACTCAGTAGTTAAGTTGTCAATCTAAGTAAATCATTGTGTAATCTTCAGTGTTCTAGGAATGACGAAGTGAATAAATAATGGTTTAAAAATATCAGGAATTTAGGAAGTCACATATTTTATCTTATAATGTAATAAGAAAAATTTATGATGAAGCAAAATTAAATTATTTGTAAAAAAACATCGGTTGTGAGATAATAGAAGAAAGCATATTGTTGCAATAAAAATATTTTCTAATTCTGGAATTAACGTATATATAATATACATAGGAATCATGAATCAGTAATGACATTTTAATGTGATGTATGTTTCACTTTGCAATTTCAATGTTTAAAGTTTAACATAGATAATTCGACATTTATGATAGTGCTGTGGTTGAGAAATCCATTAGCATGACGGCAAACTGATAATAGGTAAAACCGAGACCCATCATAGTATTTGTGAATGTATATACTTCCATAGAAATTATAATTTCGTTGCTTCTACTGACAGAGAAACTGATAGACATTGCTCAAAGGATAACGAAGGGAACAAATATTCTGTAAAAACTATTGGGTAGCAAGCATAGTGTTTAATATTATCATAACATCTTTATTATTCGTAAATGACTCATGATTTTCATACATAAGTTTCGATTTCTCATAGAAATGTGTTGATTGCTCAGCGAAAATATTACAATTGAATAACTATGAATCTTTTTTAGGATGCTTTTGTGAATTTCATTTAGTATTTAAATAAGTTTATTTAAATTGTAAGAATAAATAATAATGTCTAATGTTTATTAAGCTTTAAATAACAATCAATTCATACAAATATGCGCTACCAAATCAATCATCTCAATATTTTACGATGAACTAGAACCTGTTTAAAAGTTTTTTTAGAAATGTCTTAACATGTGAAAAAATCAGAAAGAGACATTCGATTCACATTCTAATGAAATTAAACAAAAATTGTAATGAAGACAAAAACAACAAAAGTTGAGACAAGAACTACTATAAACGAAACAAAAAGTACTTCAGGTAGGTAAAATTATGTTTCCCATAAATAATATTCTGATATGAAAAATTCTATGCTTCGCTAACGTAAGTAAATTTAAAGTATACTTTAATTCAAATGCGAGATATATTGAGTCGTAATTTTTTTACTTAAAATGTAGTTTTTTTTTTATTTTTTCTATATTATAAGCGTATATCAATAACTACAGTGACTAAATTTTGTTCATAACAAAAAATTATTCTAATTTCTTCTCATGAGTATATACAAAGCTATATGAGATATCGAGTCATAAAATTACAAATACATATTTTTACATATTCATAGTGTACTTACGGCAATCATGTATTATGTCATAAAAATTCTATAATATCTGATTATCTATGCTTTCTTTGATTATGATTATCGTATTACGGAGCAATAGAATACTACGTTCACTCTGTAGATTTGAAGAGTAATTACATACATAACATTGAGTGAGAATAAGTCTAGATCGGGAGACCAAAAATAAATCGAGAGTAAAGTAAAAATTATTTCGGGAGAAATAACAGTTATTTTAAGTTGGTCAAACTGCAACTCATAAGAAATGCCTTCTATTTCATCCTTATTTTTTCACAGATTAAACACATTTGTAGTTAAAATATATTTCAATTCCCTGTTCAAGTAAATTTTATTATAATTTCGCTGATTTTCTTGAAACACAAACGTATTCTTTGATTCGAGTAATTACTGACTTAAATAAGAAGTCAAAAAATACTATGCTTGAACCGAGTTTATAATGAATATTTTATATATTACTGTTTTGATTATTTCAAAATGAATCCCATTTTTTACGCTGACAAATTTATCGGAAATGAAATGTAAGATGATAATTTCACGATTAATTTTTTAGACTTTCACCCGATAAAACGATTTTTTAGACTTTTTTAAAGTCTGGAATACTCCATCTTCCTATGAAATAAATTGAGTAAATTTACATTTTGTTGCTTCGAAATTTTATCTTTACATTTATTGTTTAGAAAATTTTATCTAACATATAAGGTAACATTCACTTTATTTGCTAATAATTTACGTTATTCACACTAAAATTTTAAAAATATGCCGTCGTTTAGTCACAAATATTTTCTTTATGAGATATTACTAATCTACATCACTTGGTCATCATAAATGTTATGTTTTTTATCAAGTATTCTTCAATAAAAAAAATACAAATACTTTCTTATATAAAACAATGGGAAGACAAACACAAGATCAATCACACTTTTTTATAGTGTGAGAGAAACATTAATTATTTCATAGGTTATTGCACTGGTGAAAAGTTAATACATTGATATTTTTAATGCTTTTAAAGAGAAAATAATATCATCGACTCGAAGTAAAGCAAAGCTCAGAGTTATGTATCAAGATATGGAAAAAAATAGTAATGAATATGTCTTATTACATATCTTCATGAGCTAATACTCGGTTCGATTTAGCAATTTTGAATGTTTTCATATTCATGTTAATGAAAAGTAATTATTTAGTGGAATTCGTTGTTGTTCTCATCAACTAAAAAAAAAGACCGTGAAAAAGTAAAGGATAGCTAGGATTAGAATTCTGCTATCCGTATTAATATGATTTTTAATGATTACTTCTATTCTAAACTTTCATTTCAAGCAGAATCTATAAAGCATAATCAAATTTCGGTCAATAACATTTTCACTTAACTTCTACGAGAGAACCCTAACAGAATTTATTTTAGGGAGAGAGTTTGCACCCAATTCAAATTTTCTTTATTTAAGTTCGACACCGAATAAGATACCATATTAGGCCCACATTATAGTCCAGTCAATGTGCATTTTAAATACAAAATTCCATGGCACATGTCGAAACCAGGCATATTTTAGAGTGTAAATGCGCTGAATTCAATCAACCTATTTTCAGTCGAAAATGCCAACTGTGTCATATTTTTTTTTTAGTTTAAAAATTGATTTTTCCGATAAATTCACATATTTTCTGTGATATCTCGTAAATAAAGCAAAAATCAGGCATACTTGACGGGAGAAAATTTTTTTCTTATGTTTTAAGGAATATTTACGTTACCTCACTTTTTTCATATTCAATTTTATTTTTGAGATATTTAATCCCAAAAAGTTAAAAAAATAATTTACTGTGGCAGCCATTTCTTCTGATTACCACGCAAATTTATTGGCATTATCGACCGATTAGAAAACTGTAATACCGATAGAATGGAAGTTGTCGTCTTTCAAATTTAAAGGAGTACTAGCAGATTTCCGTGACTTCACCAACAAATAACCTAATTCCAGGAACCTATTGCTAGGTGATAGAATAAAAAAAAAATATATACACGCAGGTATTAATGATGATAGAAATTAGTTTAAATTCTATCGTAAGATTAAATTTCTGCTCCCTTACAACAAATTTAATTTCTATGAACAAACGGTGCAGGTTCCTATATATTTTACATGGTTTGTAACTTTATTCCAGTGAAAAAAAATTACCCGTTGAAAAAACTCAATTATGTCATATAGAATCCGTATTATTTACAAATTTTGGGTTATTCTGATTTTATACTGATTATTTTCTTCAATACAGTCAGCACAAAATAAAAATAACCTGTTTAACCAAGTATTCTAAATTTTTATTGAATTTTCCAACACCGTACTCATTGATATAGGAAATATTTCGGAATTTTTGTAAAATACTGATTATTTTCATATCAGTATTTTCTGCACAGAATAAGAAAAAGTTTTTGAATTATTCTACTGAATAATTTCTAATAATTATAATATTATATAATACTTATTTAATAAACTACTTCATTAACAATATATGCTTTAAAATTACTTTTTCTTTATGTTAATACAATTATGATTACAACAATCGTTTATTCTAGTTCTTTTATATTTATTGGACTTGTGTAATACATATTCTTATCAATGTTTATTTGAATGCATGGTGAAATTAACTTTTCAATTTCTATTGCTTTTATCAAAAGTGTTTCTTCACATTTATGGATGAATCCTGAAGTATTGTAACTATATGTATAATCTTGTGCGCTGTACACTCCTTCACTTTTTACTTTGCGAATTGTTACTAAATACTCGTATTCACAAATACAAATTTTTTTATTACATTTGCAGTATAGATATTTAATAAATCAATACCTCCCAACACTGCCATCTTCGAATGTTAGTGAAACTTCGCGCCTCGTACACGTCCTAAATGACTTTGCAAATGATAAAATTGCCATTTATCAAGAATTGAAATCAAACGAAATGCAATATCATCCATAAATTAAGTCATTTTGTTTTAATTCCGATGAATAGTGTAAAAAAATACTTTATCGAATTTCCTTTAAATACCTTAAAAAGTAATTTTGTTCTTAAAAATTTCCTTTAAAATTTTTTTTCAACTCATTTTCACTTAATTTAAAAAAGTAGTTAGTAAAAAAAAATTTCAGACGACTTGGCCGAATAAGTTAATAATAATATGATTAACTTTTTGATAACATAACATTATTAATACATGTAAAGATGTATAAGTTGTTAAACACAGGCTTTCATCAATGTATCTGTACAAAAAAAGGTTCATGGCCATGTTCAAATATTTTCTGACTTAGCGTCAATAAATTCAACAAGTAAAGAGAGAAAAAAATCAAATCTTTATAAAGAATTAATTATGGCATGTCAATATCATAATTACGTGCTACTCTAACGAATAAAGCAGACAAAAAAAGTGGTTATGACTGGGATCGAACCCTGCCCGGCAAAATAGAACTCTGATCCCGAGTCAAAATTTTTATAATAACTTTATACTGACTATACTGAATTTTCAGTATAATCAGTACAAATTCAATAAAAGTAAGGATAGGGGTTTTAGAGTTAAAGTAATACTGAATTTTTACTGAAGACTTATGAATAACTCCGTTTTCAGCTGTATCAGTATAGATTAAGTATTCAAAATCAATTTTCAAATACTGAATATATACTGACACTTCTGAATATCCGGATTCATATTTAATACATTCAGTAAAAAATCAGTATAAATTTCGTAGATTCAGTATAAAATAAATATTAAATAGAAGAGGTTGGTTACTATAGTAACCAACCTTATTTTGGATTTTACTGTAATAAGAACAATAATTATTTTCTATATATTATTTATTAAAAAACACATAAACATACATTATACATTTTTATAATTTATAAGAAATTAAATATATATTATTTATCCCCCCCACGGAACAATATATAAATAATTTTTATTTTGGAGAATATATTTTCATTTATATGAGAATTGGCCGATTATTTATATCCGAAAATATATTGTGAATGTAGTTTTAATACATCCGGTTATATTTTAATATAATTTAAATATATTTTCGATCGGCCAATTCTTATATAAATAAAAATATATATTCGCAAATATAAATTTTTGTATATTTTGTTCCATGGGGGTCAATTTTTCTTTGGAAATAACAATTTCACAGTTAGAAATCTTTGGAAAAAACAACTATATTCCAATAAACTCTTATACTTATTAATCGAAAGCGATATGCAAATTTTAATTTGTTTAAAATAACCATTACAGGCTATTCACTTCCTACTTATTAAAAAAACTTTCCGAACGTTCAATAAAAATTTAGAATACTCATTCCAACAAT